AGTAGCTGGGACTACAGGTACCCGCCACAACTCTCGGCTATTTTTTTGTTGCAGTTGTCATTGTTTTTAGTTGGCCCGGGCCAGGTTCGACCTGCCAGCCTTGCTGTATATAGCTGGCACCCTAACCGCTGAGCTACGGGTGCCACCCGAAACTGCTTTTTGTGACAACCTCTGAGTTGTGAATATAATTTTAGGGGATCATGGTAAAGGAACAGCAGTGTATCTTTACATGATTTGGCAACTGAACTGATAGAGCCTCAGTTAGCCTTTTTCTTCATTCCTATTAAGGAGGCCCATTCATTGTCTTTGGCAAACATATCTTGCTCCATAAACCTGTATCTTGCTCTTGCTCTGTAGATCTCCCTTTCTTTTCCTCTGGTCGTTCTTGGCCAAGAGCGCACCAAGAACCAAGACCACAGCTGCCTGAATCTTAGCACCCCCACTCCCATATTTAGGGCTCAGAATCTGGAAACTGGCCACCATCCACCCTCATGTCCAGGGCTCCCCATGGGTGGAACTGTAGAATGAAGAGGCACAGAGTCTGCAGCAATAGCGATATCAGTATCTGATCCTGCTGCCTCAGTGTGTGGCCGCCTCTCAGCAGCTGATGGCAGAGGAGTCGCTGTGCTTAGCTCCTGCTGCAGACTCAGGCCAAGGAGCAGCTACAGCAAAAGAAAGCTCAGGGTAGCACAAAGGCAGCTAAAATGGCCTACCTGGAGCTGGAGGAGACCCAGGAGTGCCTGAAAGCCACCAGACAACAGAACCAGCAGCTACAGGCCCAGCAGAGCCTAATGGTGACCCTGAGAAGAGAGATGGATTAGACATGGATGGACAGAGGAGGGTCTAATGAAGGAGGAAGTGGAGAAGGAGAAGACCTCTGAGAACAAGGGAGCAGAGATAGAAGAGGGAGCAGAAAAAGAGGAGGGAACCAGGGGGATGAGGGAGCCAAGAAGGGAGAGGGATCAGAAGAGGGCGAGGGAGCTGGGGAGGATGCAGGATAAGAAGAGGGAGCAGGGGAGGATGAGGGAGCAGGGGAGGGAGAGGGAGTTGGGGAGGTTGAGGGATCAGGGGAGGGAACAGGGGAGGATGAGGGAGCTGGGGAGGGAGAGGGAGTAGGGGAGGATGAGGGAGCAGGGGAGGGAGAGGGAGCAGGGGAGGGAGAGGGAGCAGGGGAGGATGAGGGAGCTGGGGAGGATGAGGGATTTGAAGAGGATAGTATTTTGTGTATTCTGGGGCCAGCACACTCCCTGTGTCATACTGGAGGTTGGAGCTGGCAAATAGGGAGGAGATATGAAGCTATGATGACCTTTAAAAAAATTGGGGAAGAGGTTCTCGTAATTACTTGAGCAAAGAAACTTATTTATTGATCTAGTAGAGAAGGAGGATGCAGGGAGGTGCTTATAGCACCCTGGTGACACAGTTCTTATTGATTTTGCGTATTTTGGAATAAATGGATTTAGACATTTAAAAAAGAAAAGAGCCTCTTTCCTAACCTGCACTTATGGGGGCTGATGATGCCAGAGAAATTTTTGTGTGTACAAGGAGCTGTCCAGAAAGTATCTAGCTGTGTAATGTGCCTGGATACTTCCGGACAGCCCTCTTACTGTTCTAATGCATTGGTCTGTTAGGGCGGGGATGCATGGAGGACCTCATGGCTCAGATTGGGGAAAGAATTCTCACACCAGGAGTAGAATAGTTTTAGGAAAGAATTTATTTCACTTCTCAAGAAAGAGAAAGGAGGGAATAGCCACAGCGCAGGGATGAAGGACTGAAAGGGCCAGCTCTGAGGAAAGGCACTCTGTGTTCTTAAGGCTAAAACTGGTTTATTTTTTCTACTTCAGCAGACTGATAACAGAAGTGGCTGCAAAGCTGGTGCGTTTGCTTTTTCTATTTTCCCCTTTACTCCATGAGGCTTGCTTATTAGAGCCCTTAGAATCTGGGTTTTTGGCAGGAACTGAAGCAGAGAGCTGAGTGGGGAGCTCGCACCCCTACTGTCCGCTGAGGACTCTTTAAGGCTGAGAAAAGCATTCTTAGTGCTAACAGGTGTTTAAAACAAAACAGGAGGAAAGGGGGACGGTTGCACTGTGAGTTTTCTCTTCAGAGGAGTAATTTTGTGTTGTGAGTTTGTTTCTCTTTATGTTAGTTTATTTTTCCTCCCTTAGCTGGCAGGTTGCCCTGTCTTTAGAAGTGACTGTCCCTGCTTTAAATTACTAGGCCCCTTCCATGGGGGCCACCCTCTGTGCTGGTTCAGCTCATTAGGAGGCTTGTCTTGGAAGTGCTTCAGAAGCCCTCAGACTTGCATTGCAGACTCTTTATGACTAACCGACACTGGGTCTTCCTCTGGCTTCGAGCACTTTCTCAGGTAGCGTGGCATGTTAGGAATGGAAGACAAATTTTCTTTGGCCTTGCATTTTGCTTTGAAGTTGAAACCAGGATTAGCTGACCCTGGAGGCTATTTTAGGAAATGACTTTGTGTGTTCCTTTTATCTTGATGTTTGTCACTAAAGTGTTGTGAAAATTCCCTTCCTATCTGTCATTTATATAAAAGATCTGATATTCCCACTTCTGATCTTTGGAATCCCTCAAGGCCTCATTAAATCAGCGCTCCATCTGCCTGGATCAGAGTGAACAAATCTCTCCGTACTTCTCCATCACACCCCTTCACCTCTTTTCTTCTTTGGTAGATGACACCCCTGAGCTTTGGATATCTTTTTAGCATAAGAAGTTTCTAACTTATTCAGATTTCCGCCAGCCTTTTCAAAGAAAGTGACAGCCACAACTCTAGCAAGGCTGCCACAGGAGCTGTGTTCCCCCTCTTCCCCTCAGGAGGGCTTTCTGTCCTCCTTCCTTGGCCCGTTAGAGGGTAGCCATACCCGAAGGGACTTCATGCCTCTGGGTTGTAGCTGTGATGGGCCGGAGGGACTGTGGCACCATATCCTTTAATCTTCACAGTGCCTCTGTTGGTCTCATGAGAAGAGTGAGAAGCTTCTGGAGGTGGCACAATTCCCAGGTCACATAGCTGATAACCCCGGGTCCACTGTTGATTTGACTCTAAAATGCTGCCAGTAAGGACAGTAGGGAGGAGCCACCTGGTCTACTCCTCACCAATTCCCCAAATTAAAAGAGATGATACATGTAAAAGAACTCTATAAAAATTACCCCAGTGCTTTATTTGTACTTGGGTCTGGGGATCTAACTACTTTTTAATAAAAATATTGAATTTTCATAATTAAGTACAGTAGAACCTCTGTTAAGTTGACCACCCAAGGGACTGTAACAAACTGGTTGACACATGGATATGGTCAACATAAGGAACTAGGTGTGCTGTACTGATACGTACATTTGGTGCAAGCCCAGTCTATGAGAATTAGGTCAAGTTAAGGAGGTGGTCATTGTAGGGAAAGTGGTCAACTATGGAGAGTCTAACATTCTCTATTGTGCTTATAAAACCAGTATTGTTAAACTGTCTGCTCACTTTGTTTTGCTTACGGCAAGTGTGCCGTGCCTCTTCTTGCTTACCACAAAGCACACAAGCGTGAGCGTTATCTTCTCTTCACTTCCCGGCAGCGCCCTATCATCTCTATCTGCTGGGGCCACCGCGACTCACGGCTGCTGATGGCATCAGGACCAGCCCTGTACGTGGTACGTGTGGAGCATCGGGTGTCCAGCCTGCAGCTGCTGTGCCAGCAAGCCATTGCCAGCACCCTGCGGGAAGACAAGGATGTCAGCAAGTTGGCCCTGCCTCCCCGCCTCTGTTCCTACCTCTCCACCGCCTTCATCCCCACCATCAAGGTAAAACACTGCACCGCTCTCCTTTGTTCCCTCTCCAGGGCTGGCTCCCCACTGTGGGGCAGAAGGAGAGCAGGGACAGGAAACATGTAAGGGCTCCAGAGCATGCAGAGGGGCCTCATCTGCCACCGACTAGAGCTCTGAGGAACAGCCAAACGTGGCTCTGCAGGGTTCCACCACATTCTCCCACATCTGCAGCCTGCCCTGAGGACACTGTCAGTGTCCCCGTGAGGTGTGCCTTGTGTGGTGGATGTTATCTTTCCCATGGCAAAGCCTGTGTCATGAACAAAAGAGTGAACGTTCCTTGAGCAGTTCCTATATGATAATGGAATTGCACCAAGTGCTTTACAAAACTGTCAATCCACCTCCTGGCAGATGTGGCCATTATTCTGACTTGAGAGAGCAGGAAACAAGTTCATGAAAGTTAAGTAACATGCTCCTTAGCTAGTTTGGGAATCTTCAGGACAGGCCTACTCCAGTCCTAGGACATGTTCCCTGCACTGTGCTCAGAGGGGTGACCCACTGGGCACTGACGTCTGCTCATTCGTACTGATGGAAGCTTGAGAAACTAGTCTGTTTTTAGTGATAATATGCGGAATGGCTATGCCGGTGGCTATCCAAGTGTGGGCTCCCCCTTACCCTTGGGTCCTCCCCACCTTGCCTCAGTTTTGTATTCTCTCTTTTTTTTATCAGACTGATTTGTTGGTTACTTTTTGAGTCTTAACCTTGGTGTATTACAGTGGTTCTCAACCTTCCTAATGCTGCAGCCCTTTAATACAGTTCCTGTGGGTTGCAACCCATAGGTTGGGAACCACTGGTGTATTATAATGCATTAGAAAGTACAGATGCCCAAGCCCTCTGCCAGAGATGCAGATGTAATCATCTGAGGTGGGATCCTGGCTTAGGTATTTTTCAAAAGCTCCCAGGAGATTCTCATGCTTGGTTGGGAATCGCTGCTCTACATCACGGAGTCAGCCACTCCCGAGTGCCCAGCCTATGCTGTGTCAGAGCAGCAGTGCCAGCTTTAGCCGCCCTGATCCATGCCTACCGTCTCTCTTTCTCTGGAGTCTCAGCTCTTTCTCTTCTTCCTGTATCCCACCTCTAGCCCCCAATTCCAGACCCCAACAACATGCGCGACTTTGTTAGCTACCCCTCAGCCGGCAGTGAGCGGCTGCACTGCACCATGAAGCGCACAGAGGATGACCCCGAGGTGGGCGGCCCATGCTACACACTCTACCTTGAGTACCTGGGGGGGCTTGTGCCCATCCTCAAGGGGAGGCGCATCAGCAAGCTGCGGCCAGAGTTTGTCATCATGGACCCCCGGACAGATAGCAAATCAGGTGGGCTCTGCCAGAGGTTTGTTCTCATATGGTTGTGGGGTGTTGTTCTTTACCCCGTGTAAAGGTAATGCCTGGTTATGAAATGCAAGCCTGTGCTGGCAAGAATGGAACATCCCCAAAGCTGCTGTATTTCCAGATGCTATGTAAATGAGCAGTTCTCTGAATGGATTTTCTGATGGGTTTTTGTAATGTTCCATAGGCATCAGGTCCTTAGGGCTATATAGGTGAAGGAAATGTAGGCTCTCAGTTAAGGAGAAGCTGGCACAGACCTCCTGGGAGTGACAGCTTCCTCTTACAGTTACCAAGTATTCATTGAGCACCTTAATGCAATATGGATATAATTGGAAAATAATGAGATATAGTTTCTGCCTTCCCAGAGTGGGCAATATAATTAAAATTTTTAAACCTTTAGCCTACTCCTCAGCTTCCTGCTTCTGCCCCCCCCCAATCCACTATTAACTGCTGTATAGCTGATTACTAATGAAAATTTCTTACTCATCCATAAAGATTCTGACATGATGAATCACCCCATCCTTCTACAGCCTCTCCTATGCTGCTTTTCATGGCTCAGTTAATGTGTCCAGGCTCCTCACCATACTCCTCGCTGGGCTCCTAGATTGCGAGGCTCCAGAAGGAAGGGTCTTCATTTTGTGTGCGTGCTGCTTGGTGCAGGGCAGTGTCCAATGCACCTGTCAATCCCCGCCTACTCAAATGTTCTCCCTCTGAAACCTTCCCTGTCACCTGCTGCAGAGATGACCAGTACCATCTGTGGTGCCTGTTGTCCCGCAACAGCTGCTGTGTCCTGCTCTGCACACGTGGTCATTGTGCTGCAGACTCTGCTTGCCCCACTGAATCCTGAGGGCCTGAGAGTAGATAACTGAGTCATTTTTGTCCCCCCAGCTCCCCAGTGCCAGTGAGCACTTGACCTTGAAACTGCATTGGCTGAGTTGGATTTGTTGCATTATTTTTCACTTTATACTTGCTCCCTCCACTTCCTCACTCTGGTCTACTCTCCCGCCCCTCAGACTGGTCTGTGCTTTTAATTACGTTCCTGAAACCAGTGTGGTAGTGGAGCATGCGGCTGGCCTGTCATCATAGCCTGCCCTAGATGGTTGCTTCCCCACCCTCAGCTGTTCTTTTCTCATTCAGCATCTGTGATCACACTCTGCGACCAGTGTTAACTGGATGAAGTCAAAAACAGCAACACTGTCCTTTTCAAAATTGGTTATTAGTCAGTTTTCTGTCTTTTGACTCACGTAACAAGCTACTACCAATAGCAGAGAAAGCAAGAAGAATGGGGGCTGGTCAGGAGACAGATGGTAAGGGGAGAGGGAAGACCCAGAAGGAAGGTGTAGTGAGGAAAACAGAGAGAGGTGGATGTAGGAGGAAAGCCTTGTTCCAGGGGGAGGTAAGAGAACAGGCCATGGTTAGAAATGATGGCGCGGGGGTGCGTGCAGCCCAAGTTTCACTCATGCCAGCACCTCCAGGGCCTCCCTTGGATGTGGCTTAGTAAAGTGGCTGAGATTTGATGTGGAAAACAGTTAAAGAGCTCATTTATCTCCCCACATGTGTGTGGATTGCCCGCTGAAGACGACAACCATGTGCTTTCAGGGCTCCAGGGCCACAGCCTCCCAAGAGCCTGGACCACCTGCCTAAACGCCTATTTTTTTCTTCCTGTTGACTTTGTCAGCCCAGAGCAAACCCAGACTAACTCGGTTGGGAGTTAGCAGTCCTTTGGGGAATAAGATGTTTTATTTTTATACTTCTTTATAATTAAAAGAAGTAAAAACTGTAAAGCAAAACAAATGAAATATTTAGTCAATGCTTGTCTTGTATGAGTACTTGAATCTCCCGTGATTGCTAAGCATTACCAAGGTATCTTTGCTTTTGAGGTTCTTATCCATTTTGGGTGAATAGACAACTTCAGCACTTGAGAAGTTCAAATAAAAAGTCAAGATTTAAATAACTTCCAGACTAAAATAGAAGGTGTGTCACAAGGCACAATACGAGTGACTAATTGCCAACTGAGTGGTATATAGAAACTATTTTAGAGAAGGAAAATATTTCTAACACTGAGTAGCCAGAAATTTCTCATCATGAGAAGCCGATTAACTCTCATGAACCACCACCACATCATTGTTTTTCAAAATGTGGCACACGTACCACCTCCACACAGACCACAGGGGTGCTTATTTAAATGCACATTCCTAGATCACTCCTTAGATCAGTGGTTCTCAACCTTCTTAATGCCGCAACCCTTTAATACAGTTCCTGTGGGTCTTGACCCACAGGTTGAGAACTGCTGCCTTAGATGATGATTTGTTAAGGTTATGTTGGGGTCTGGACACATGTGACTTAATGGATTCTCCCAGTGACTTTTATGTACTAAACTTTGCAATCCACTTTGGTAAATGTTGTTTGAGTGACTTGACAAATATGTTCCTCAGAATTGCGAGTGTATATTAAAGGCTTAATCACCAATGTGACTGTTTTTGGAGAGAGGGCATTTAAGGGACATTAAAGTTAACATAGAGTGGGTCCTAATCTGATGGAGCTTCTGGCCTATAAGAAGAGGAAGAGAGAGCTCCTGTGTCTTTCCATGAGCATTGACTGAGGAAAGACTATGGGGGAGAAAGCCTGACAGTGACTGTCTGCAAGCTGGGGAGTCCTCACCAGGAACCAGCTGTGATGATGTCCTTGTCCTGGTGAGAGCCAGTTCCCTATAATACATCTCTTTAAGCCAGGCTTGGTGGCTCCCGCCTGTAATTCGCCTCCCTCTAGGAGGCTGAGGGGGAGGATCCATTGAGCCAAGGAGTTCAAGACCAGCCTGAGTAAGAGCAAGACCAAGACCCTGTCTTTACTAAAAATAGAAAACTCAGCCAGACATGGTAGCAGTGCCTACAGTCCCAGCTACTTAGATAGAAGGCTGAGGTAGGAGGATGGCTTGAGCATAGGAGTTTGAGGCTACTGTGAGTTATGACGCAATAGCACTCTAACTGGGAAAACAGAATGAGACTGTCTCAAAAAAAAATCAGTCTTTTTATACATAAACACACACACTCCCCATATTGGTTTTGTTTCTCTAGAGGTCCCTGACTAATACCGATATTACTATCAAGAAGTAGGTATGTGAGGCCAGGCTAGGATCACGCCTGTAATCCTAGCACTCAAGGCAGGAGGATTTTTTGAGCTCACGAGTTTGAGACCCTGTCTCTAAAAATAGCTGAGCTAGAATGAGACCCTGTCTCTAAAAATAGCTGAACTAGAGTGAGACGCTGTCTCTGAAAATAATTGGGTGAGAGCTAGAGTGAGACCCTGTCTCTAAAAATAGCTGGGTGTTGTAGTGGGATGCCTGTAGTCCCAGCTGCTTGGAAGAGTATCACTTGAGCTGAAGAGTTTGAAGTTGTTGTGAGCTGTAAGCCACAGCATTCTATCTGGGGTGACAAAGTCAGACTGTGTCTAAAAAAAAAAAAAGAAAAAGAGAAAGCAGTGGGTGCAACTGTAACAAATAGCTAAACACATGAAAGAAACTTTGCAATAGGGGAATGGAGATCCTGAAAGAGTTTTGAGGTGCATAGTAGAATATGGGTGTCTGGAAAATTCTGGTGAGGTCATGGTCAGAAATGAGGAACACATTGAAAATTGGAGGAAAGATGATCCTTACTATAAAGTGGCAAAGAATTTGGCTGCATTCTGGTGTAAGGAAGTGTTAAGTTTAAAGGATCCAGAATTTGAAGATTTAGAAAAGGCTCTTTTCCGGCTATTCAACACCAAGGAGGTGGTTGCATTGTCCCTTATAAAGAGCTTGTGCAGTTGTGCAAGCAGAAGCCCTGCCCTGCTGTCCATCTGCAGTGGGCAGCTGGACATGGAGTGAAGGAGGCATCTGCACTTCCTAGGTGTAACAGGCCAGAATGGGAGTGATTTAGCTGCTGGTGGGGCCTATTCTTCAAGAAGAGAGGAAAGTGAACCTTGAAGGTGATTCTGAGATCAGAATCTGTTTTGACAGGCCAAATGGCCTTCACCTAGAACCTTGGAGGCAGGGCCCTAAGGTTAGGACCCCTCCCTACAGCTATGAGGGTGGTGCTGACACCTGTGTGGGTCTAGAGGGCAGAGCCTGGAGTCAAAGGGGAGTTATACTCAAGCCTTAAGATCTAAAGGAACTTGCCTGCCAGGTTTTTAGATTTGCTTGGGACCCATCAAGCCTGTCTTACTTCCAGGTTCTCCCTTTTAGAATGTGAATTCCCCACCCTTATATTTGAAAGCCCATACCTTACCTGGTTGTGTGAGCTCATAGATGGAAAGCAATTCTAGTTCAGGATGAATCAAGTCTCATCCATATCTGATTTAGATGATACTTAAATGAGACTTTGGACTTTAGACTTTAAACCTGATACTGGAGTGAATTAAGAATTTTAGGGCTATTGGGACAGAATGAATGTTTTGTATAAGAGAAGGTTCTGAATCTGGGAGGAGCAGGGGCAGAATGCTATAGACTGAATTGTTTCTTACCCACTACCCACCCCCATCATATGTGGAAGTCCTCACTCCCAATGTTACTCTTTATGGAAATAGGACTTTCATGGGGAATTAAGGTTAATGAAGCCATAAGGATGGGATCCTAATCTGGAAGGCTTGGTGACCATATAAGAAGAGGAAGAGAGAGTGCTCCTGATACACATGTACCAGGTAAAGGTCCTCTGATCACATGGCAAGCCAGGAAGAAAGACTTTGCCAGATTCTCACCATGCCAACACCCTAATCTTAGATTTTCAGCTTGCAAGACTATAAGAAAATCAGTTCTGGTGTTTAAGCCACCCAGTCTGTGGTATTTTGTTATAGCAGCCTGAGCAGACTAAGAGCTTGCACACGTATTGAAGGGATATTAAAACAGCTTTTGAAGGTTTCTTTACCTGACCTCAAATTTATTACAAGGCTGTAGTAACCCAAAACAGCATGTACTAGTATAAAAATAGACACCCAGATCAATGGAACAAAATAGAGAACCCAGAAATAAAGCCACATATCTATAGCCAACTGATCTTTGACAAAGCTAACAAAATAGAAACTGAGGACAGGATACACTTTTCAGTAAATGATGCTGGGAAAAATTGGATTGCCACGTGCAGAAGAATGAAACTTGGCCCCTGTCTCTCTCTGTATACAAAAATCAACTCAAGATGGATCAAAGATTTACACGTAAAACCTGAAACTATAGGCCAGGCATGGTGGCTCACATGTAATCCCACTACTTTGAGTGGCTGAGACAGCAGGCCCAGAGTCAAGGTTATAATGGCTATGCCACTGCACTTCAGCCTGGGCAACAGTGACCTATTTGTGTGTGTGTGTGTTTGTATGTGTTTGTGTGTGTGTGTGTGTGTGTGTGTAAAGAAGAAAGGCAGACAGACTAAAAATACTAGAAGAAAAGCTAGGGTAACCTGGAAATTGGTCTAGGCAAAGAATTGATGACTAAGACCTCAAAAGCACAAACAGCAAAAATAGAAGTATACAAATTGAATTTAGTTAAACTAAAAAGATTCTGCATAGCAGAAGAAATCATCAGAGTAAACAGCCTTCAGAATGGGAGAAGATATTTGGAAACTATGCATCTAACAGGGGCTGATATCTAGAATTTCCAAGGAACTCAACAATAATAATAAAACCCAAATAATCCTATTAAAAAGTAGAAAGTTTATGAATAGACATTTTTCAAAAGAAAACAGACAAATAGCCGATAAGCATATGAAAAAATGTTCAACATTACTAATCAGAAGAAATGCAAATGAAAACCACATTGAGATATTATCTTACACCAGTCATAATGGCTGTTATTAAAAAGCCAAAAAATAATAGACGTTGGCAAGGATGTGGAGAAAAAGGAACACTTAAACACTGCTGGTGGGAGCATATAGTTTTCAGAGACCAATCCCAATTTATGTTTTCCTGTAACTTGGATATTTGTTTGCAGAATTCCATTATAAATTGAAAGTACAGAATCACTAGAAGTCCAAGATGCACCCAGCCCCTGCCCTGGCCTTCCCAAGTGCTGATGTAACGTAAGGCGGTGGATTTCTAGTTGTGTTGACGAAGACGTCAGCGTGGCAGTGCCTACACTGGACCAGCTGGACGTAGGCTGTATATTCAGAAAGCACTTTTCTTTTTCTCATGCCACCCCTTAAATCCTCATTTATTCTTTCAGGAAGTATTTGTCAAGCCCCAAGTGTTCTAGTCTCTGGAGTTACAGCAAAAAGCAGCACAGAAACTTTCCTTCTCTGGCAGAATTTACACCAGTTGAGACAATAAAACAGTAGTTATGGTTAAAGGGAAAAGCAAAATGTCTGAGACTAGCACTTGAGGGATCCTGGCATTGATGAGTAGTCAGGAGCTGAGTAGGCGATGCCTTATTGGATTTCCTCGGGTTAGGTCATGAACACATGGAAGCATTCTGCAGGCTCATATATGTCTGAATCATGGCTGAGCTTCCTTTGATTTAGTGACTCCTAAGCTAAATAATATAAAGCATTGCTCAGGCCAAATGAAGTAAGCCTTTTTATAATAGTTGATTGAACACAATGAATACCACAACAACTAGCTGGATCCATGAACATAGGAGTGGGTGGGGGACACAGCAGGTACAGCCAGTTGTGCTCAGGGAAGCCCCTGTTCACAGATGTCACCTCCACAGCTCAGAAACTTGGAGACTGGTTTGGATTGATAAACTCATCCTTTAAAATGTCAATAGTCCTTTCAAATGGTAAAGTCACTCCCATGCTATAAATTATTTAATTGTAATTGAATGATTCGGCTTTGTTTACCCGGTAAGGCTATTAGAGCCTTGAGGGAATGAGGGTTTAGTCAGAAAAACAAAGTATTGTAAAGAATGGGGCATTCACACTGAGGGCTAACCAGGGGGAGTTGTAGGGGTTTGGGTTGTGAAAGGGTGTGGTAGTGGCGGTGGGTGGGGTCATGGAGAAAGCAGAGTGGGGGGGTGAAGAAACCTCATAGAGAGTGAGCTTTGTCTACTCGACAGTTTGGCGACTGCCTGGCTGTCTGTGCATCGTCTCTGGTCTTCTGCCTGATGGCCAGTCGGCAAAATTATCATGCGAGGCTTCTAGTACAGGGTACCCTCAGAGGAACCCAAAGCCACCACTGAAAGTCCCCACTCCACAGGTATTCCTGAAGCCATTGCCCCAGGCAGGCAGGCAGCTGTGCTGGTAGAATAGCCAAATCCCACAGCCAATCTCAGGGCAATGCTAGCAGACTGGCTGGAACTCAGATGTCAACTTCTGAGACCCCTTGGATGGGCCTAGCTTTGTCAGGGCTCTAGGCCAAACAGGCCTGGCAGTGACAAGGGCCTTCCTAGCCCAGAAGCAGGTTCTCTGGGGAATCAGTGAGTCAGCAAGCCCCTAGCTTAGTCTGGGTTCTGGGACTGCACAAAAGTCCACACAGACTCGGATGGACACCTGTGTGTCCTCAGGCTTTTGGCAGACAGTGTCTGGCTATTTTGTACATTCCTTGAGGCATTCAAATCCCATGCCCATTTCTCCTTAGAAGATATAATAGCATAAAAATGTAGAAGAAAAAACAATGCTAAACTTTATGGTTCAACCTCTAGATTTAAAATGATGGCCTGTAGACTCAGTCTATCCTTTAATTTATAGTAATTGTCATCATTAGGGGCTAATTGATACTACTTCCCTTACATGTGCTTGTTGGTGTCTTACCAGATGAAATCTATGGGAATAGCTTGATTTCCACTGTGATCGACAGCTGCAACTGCTCAGACTCCAGTGACATCGAGCTGAGTGATGACTGGGCTGCCAAGAAATCTCCCAAAATCTCCAGAGCTAGCAAATCACCCAAACTCCCAAGGTAATCTCAGCCTCCAGGGTATTTGCTCTTTTTTTGTGCCTCTGGACATATCTCTGTGCCTCCAACAGAATCCCATTAAAACTCACACTAAAAATATATATATAGTAAGCGCAGCATCCCACCTTTCCTTCTGGAAGATTCTAGTTGGAATTTTTTTATTTTTCTTTCTTTCTTTTTCTCCTTTCAGGATGGAAAGAGACATCTGGTAGGAAGTTTGCTAAACCTTCAGAGCTTCCCTAAGTTAATGGTTATCAGGCGTGAAAGGGGGAAGGACTTCTCTCTGACTTGCTTGGTTTTTCTTTGAATTTGAGAAAAGGAAGGAAACGTTTTTGTAATGGATATACAGTGTTGAAGAGAATGCCAAATTAAATGCCAATAATGATATAATTGGGAAACTAATAATCAACTTTAAAAAAAAAATGGATCTAATGTAGGGTGACCAGATTTTAACATTGGTAAAGTGGGACACCATTGGGGGGAGGGTAGACGAGGGTGGGCAGGGCTTCATTAAGATCTCAGCTAGTGGCTCGGTGCCTATAGCTCAACTGGCTAAGGCGCCAGCCACGTACACCTTAGGTGGCGGGTTCAAATCCCCAGCCTGGACCTGCCAAACAACAATGACGGCTGCAACCAAAAAATAGCCGGGCGTTGTGGCGGGCGCCTGTGCTCCCAGCTACTTGGGAGGC